TTAAATAGGCACTCAAAAGGTGCACGTGTGGCTTGATGTACCATCGTTGTAATTATATATAAAACTTCATCTATACTTTAATAAAAAGTTCCCCAGACCAAAGAGGTCACCTTAATACCAAAAAAAAAAAAAAACAATATTGTTAGTAGTTTTGGTTATATAGACAAGGGCCAATTATCTATTCTTACTTTGCCTTTAAATATTATTTCTTTTTCATCTTCAGAAACCTAAACCCAGCCTGCACCTATTCTGTCTTTTTCTCTTTTATTGTATTTATTTGGTAACTATGAGCTGTCTGTGTAGAATATGTATTTACTTCTTTTGTGCTTGAGGTTAGTTCTTGATCCATTAAGTAGTAAGGCTATAATATTTGCTAGCAAGTTAAAATCCTTTATATACTTGATGCTTTTTGCCTCTAACTCTCCTGCACTCTTAAGTAGACTCTCTGTTAAATTACTTTCTTTCTTAAAATAACTGTAAGTTTCTGGTGCAATTTTTATATATATACTATTGTTAATTTTTAATACATGTTCTACTCTTTCTAGTACTTTGTTTTGCTTTAGTTCTAGCATACAATTGTTCTCTTTGCCCTTCTTGTTATATTTATATTCTTGACAATACTTTACTAGAGTATCAATTTTGGTTAGGCCTAATTCTACCCAGTGTTTAACCAATATCTTGCTATATTTCTTCTTTTGTATTTGTCCAAATAAAAGTTAATCATTTTTTCTTTGAACAAAACTCAATCCTTTTTTCTTTTGTCTCAGTAAATATTAAGCAGTTTAGAAACAAGAGCTTCTTTATTTGTTTCCTATAAACAAAACTGTGATTCTACCTTTTATTCTTATACTTTTTTTAGAACTACTTCTTTAATAGCTATATACTAGTATAGAACCTTGCCATAGCTATTAAAACTCTTAATTGTCTTAACTTGTTGCTATATTAACAAGTTCTTGCCACTTTGGTTAAGTAACTAATTAATATAATATATACCCAGTTTTGCCTATGTACTCCTACTTTTACTTTTTTGTTTAGTGTCTAATAAATTTGTAATTGTTGGTCCCGACCCTTGAATATACCAGCCCTTTTCTTCAGACCTAAATATTATATCTATTTTTTTACACTGTTTAATTATATTTAATGCAATAATATTTTTGTATATTAAACATGTTTTGTTAGCTCTCTCTTGTTAAACATTATGTATTATAGCATTTTTCAAAATTCTAATTTGTACTTTGGTTAAGCTCTCTATTGTACCAGAGCTGTTTAGTTTTTTAAAAAAAGATGTAGTCTATTTTGCTAAAACTATTCCTGTAAGTATTTTAATATCTAGTATACCTCTATATACTAATATACTATTTGGCACTATCTAAACAATATCTAGCTTTCTTTTTATTAAATATAAAAAGAGTTGGTGAATTGAATATAACTCTCTTTCTAATAGAGCTACTGTTTGTAAAATTTAATCTAGCTTTGAAATTAGAACTTGATTGTTTATATATGCTAGTTGGCTTATCATAGTTTTTTTCTTTTCTAGTTTATATACAAACAAGTCTACATCTTGCTTTACTCTTTTTTTTATCTTTCTTATTTCTTTAGTAGTACAAGAAATTGTGTCTAAGAAGCAAATTTCACTTAGCTTTTTAGCTGCTTCTACTGTGGCTCCACTGTACTCTATTTGTCTTTTTTTTTATTAGAAGCTTTGAGTTAAGTGCGATTAGCTTGAACTTGTTATCATTGATTTCTATACTATTTAATTGGAAGAACTGTTTTGCAATCTAGATTATTTGCTTGAGCTAACTTTAGAGCTAGTAATCCATATTATATCATCTGCATAGACAAGAATTATTTATCTTATACTTTTTTGTTTTCTGGTCTCTAGCAGCTATTCAAATTGCTTTGAAATTTCAATTGTATAGCCAAACCCTTTGTTTTTTGTATTCGATCTAACAGAAGATTGTAAAAGATTCTCTATAATAGAGAGAAAATAGCCTCTCCTTGGTTAATACCCTCTTCTGCCAACACTTTTTGTATTAATCCAAATGTCATTATAATCTTTAACTTTCTGTTTATAAACAGGTTTAGAATGATTTTGCAGTATCTATTTGGAATTTTAATTCTTCTTAAGGCTCTTTCTAATATGCTTAGATTTACTAAATTGAATACCTTTCTTATATTTTGAAATAGTAACTATATTTCTTGCTTATTTTCTTCTGCTTTCTCGATAAGCATTTTTAATATATAAGCTAGCTTTTTAGTAGAGTTGCCAGGTAATTTTGCAAAGTTGAAACCATGTAAAATATCTTTTTCTTTAATGATTTTGTTTAGTCTCTTTGTTAGTATTTTTGTAATATATTTTCTAAATACTTCTATTAATATGATTAGTCTAACTTTATCTAGGTTATACTCCTAATTTTGCCCTTTTAGTATAAAATAAATTTGCATTGTTTTTTATTTAAATGAAATATTGCTAACTTATAGATATAGTTTTGCAAAATTCTTGAAAATTTGTTGTAACCTTGTGTTGGCTTGTTTCAATAAAGGATATAAGATTGTTGATATTTCTGGGGCTAAATTAGCTTTACTTTCACTTAACATTGCTTGCCACTTATCTAGTATGATTGGTTGCATTACTGGATCAAACCAAGACTCTTGGATTCTCTCTTTTAGTTGGTACTCATCAAACCAAAGTTTCTCAACCTCAGTGTAGCTATTTTCTTTGCTTACAAATTGCTTTTGAAAGTGGGCTTGAACTTCTTCCAAAACTTCTACAAGATTATTTAGTAATGTTTCTTGGTTTTGGTTTTGTAGTATTACTCTATTCAGAACCACTTTGTGAAAAGGCGGCTTCAAAAAGCTAGATAGCATTTTTTTTTTGGTTATTTATAATTTGTTCTACTCTTCTTTGAATATATGCTTGTATCTTTTTTTTTTTCCTACTCACTACTTGCTATTAACTTGTCTTTAATTGCTTTTCACCATATAAAATACATCTGCTTGTCATATTTCACCTTCTAATATTTTAATATCTTTAATATTGCTATCTGCTAATAAGTTTATTTGCTTAATTCTTTTATTCTACTCTGTGATTTTTTTTTTATAA